TAATCTTATTATTCTTATATTAAAAATTTAATATTTTAATTATTAAATTAGAATTATTAATTGATAATAATTATTATTATAGGCCTGTCAAATGAATATGTATCAAGTGTTTTGTCACCTGCACCTAGTAGTGCTAGCACTAGTTCTGACGATTCAGATGTTCGAGTTTTAGATGAAGCAATTGATCTTAGAATGAATACAGAAATGCCCAATGTAGGACCACATACAATCAATATGCCTGGTAAATCTTTTATTTAATTTTTCTTGTTATATTATATTATGTTTATGTATTATGTATTATTTCATGTAGAATTAGAATTATAAAATATTATTTTATTTAGGTCCAAGTACTGTAGGGCAGACTTTTCAATTAGAAATTCCATACAATGTACCAAACGTATTAACTATTTCTTCCGATTCTTCTTCATCGGATAATGATTGTGAGGTAATTGGTTATGTGAAACCACGTCATGAAAGAACACCAGAAATCATAGAATTACTTTCATCTGATCCTGAAGAAATAAATATTTCTTATATACCAAATGATAATGCCGAGTAAGTAAAAATGTTTGTATTTTGAAACTCTGGATTTAAATAAAAAAATATACAATTTATATTAATTTACATATATATAACATTATTTATATAATTATATCATTATTAGAGCTACAGCACCTACTTCGTATGAAGATATTGCTCAACCTAGTACATCTCATAATATTAATAAAAGAGAATTAACATCCTCATCTAATGAAAGTAATTCCGATTCAGATAGTGATTACACTTTTCGAAGAAGTAGAAAGTATCAAAATCGTACTAGAAAACATACAAAAAGAAGTATGACCAGTAAAAGACGCAATCGATCAATAGAATCGAGAGTTCGTAATCGAACAAGTAGAAATTTATCCAGTTCCGGAGAAAGTGAATCTAGAAAAAAAGGAACCAAAAGAAACACTCAGCGAACAACTAAAAGAAGATTAAGTACTAGTAGTGACAGTAGTTCTCATGAAACACAATCAAAACCGATGGATGAAAAAAAATTGTTTATTACACACCACAGCATTCCGCAAAAGTTACTGTGCGTGTTCGTAAAGATTTAATCAAGAAAGAAACCCGATACTCGGATGATGAATCATTCAGTAGCAATAGTAGTACTGAATCAGATGATGTTAAAAATGTAAAATCTCATACATTACGAAAATCGAAAAGGAAATATACTACTAGTTCGAGTGATTTTGATACCGGCAGAAGTGAGAGAATAATTAGAACAAGAGGTAAAACAAGACAAATACCAGATAGAAAAGAATCTCATCGAAAAGAATTAAGATATAAAAATGATCGACAATCTTTATCTAGAAGTAGCAGTGCATCTTCTTATGCATCTCAAAAAGTAACGAGAGATAATTCTAGGCGACGAGAATCCCAACGAGATTTGAGTGATAACGATAGCAATTGGATAACTAGAGATGTTTCAAGAAAAAGTCGTGAATTAAAATCTAAAGCGAGAGAAGCAACATTAAGTAGTTCAGATTTCGACGAAGATTATAGATCACATAGTCAATGCAGTAATTATTCAGCTAAGTCATATACATATAAAAAGAAATCAAAGCATAAGGATAAGCATAAAAGTAAAAAAAGAAAACGATCTAGTAGTAGAACACGTAATTCATCGAATCGATCACGATTAACTCGACGGCATCCTGCTTAAAATTAAAATATGCAACATTGAAACATTCCGATTTAAAAAATTATTTGATTTAAAATAATAAATATGTGCAACTCCTAGAAAATTTGCAAGGGGTTACATAAGATCTCAGGGTAACACCAAATCAAAATCAATAAAAATAATAATGCATTTGTTCATTAATTAGCTTGAATTTAGAAAAATATTACACTTCTAATTGAAATTATTTGATGAAATTTATCATGTGATTAGAAATTTATTGTTATTATTATGATTTTTTTAAATAATCATGTGTGCATAAAATACAACGATAAAGCATGGTGAAGTCATGTTAATTTTAATGATTTATTATCAATATTTCTTTATAATTGTAAGAAAATGAATATAATATTTAGAAACATATTGCATTATATAAAATATTAATAATGTTGTTTCATTTCTTTATTTTTTAAATAAAAATGGCTTCCACATGTGTTGTAAAATATATGGAAATTATGTATAAAATATTAAAGTGTCATAGATTTTATTTATAATTTTATCTACTGTATAAAAAAAATAACCAAATTCAATCATAATACTTATTTTAAATTCTGAATAATATGAAAAAGAAAGCAAAAATTCTATAAATATATGTATACATGAATACATGTATATATGCATGTATCATTATTACCTTCATTAAGGTACAACAAATTTCATTATATTTCCCTACGATTTTGATTCCCAAAGAATATTTGTAAATATATTTGTATGTTATAAATTAATAATTTAATTAAAATTTTACACAGATATAATTTTTTGTAAAAATATGTAGACTTAGAATAATTGCTATGTGTAAAATTATATATGTTATGTATAAATCATAAAATAATTAGTTTATAAGAATTATTTTAGTTTTCATTTTTTTTCTTAAGTTATTGTACATTTTGACATATAATATTATAAAATATGAATATAATACATTTAAAATTAATCAAAAAAATTTTTTTCTATCATATATTTTTCTTAATTTATAATATAAATTTTTTGCATTATTTATACTTTTGAATTATGTGAAATGTACTCCTTTCGCATTAAATGCATGTAAAAGGCTGAAAGTTTTAACATAAGATTAATTTTAGAGTAAATCAATTATCAAAAAAATTCATAAAATTTGTAATACCTGATAAAATCATCTATATCCATAGTTCTTGCACGTTTATTTTCAGCATCTGCTTTTTGTAAAATATCATTTATCATGTCTTTGATGTTAAATCCTTCTGTAATTATCTAAATATCACAAAAAACAATTTCTGTTAATATTAAGACAGATTTTTTTTCAGATATTTGTTACATCCATACTTAACCTTATTATTCAAACTACAATGAAGTTTGTAATTTTTTTCTAACATTGTTAAAACTGTAGTTTGTTTGAATGCAGCAGAAAGTGTTTTATTTTTTCTGACAAATGCAATTCGTGTCAAACCATCCCATTCTTGATAATTAATTGGAGGTGGTGGATTACGTGGTTCTATTCTAACTACATTTGATTCTACTTTTGGTGGTGGTCTAAAATTATTTTTTCCTACTTTCATGAGCAAATCCACACGTGCTAATAATTGAGTATTTATACTTAAACGACAATATAATTTATCACCTGGTTTTGCTACTAAACGTTCAGCAAATTCCCTTTGAAACATAAGTATGGCACATCTGTAGAAAATAATGCTAATCAAGTCTGTTTCTTCTTATTTTTTCTATATAATTATTTTATATCTTTTAAATACTTTAATTATATTTGTATGAATAAACTATAATATATAATATATAAACAATTTTTAAATAAAATAAACTTACCTAAACATTGGTCTATGTAAAAGTAATTTAAATACTAAAGGTGATGATATTTGGTATGGTATATTAGCAACACATAAATCAAAAAATGGTAAATCTGTTTTTAGAATATCACCTATCATAATTTGCAATTTTGATTGATAGACTGTGCCTTGTACACGTTTCTGTAATTCAGCTACCATTCGAGTATCCAATTCACATGCGATAACTTTTTTAGCTTTATCTAATAATTTTATTGTCATATTACCAGTACCTGGACCTATTTCTAATACAACATCTGTTGGTCTAACTGCTGCTTTTTCAACCATACTTTGAATAACAAGTGGATTCTTTAAAATGTGTTGTCCAATATCCGTATTAAATAAAATTCCTATAAATTTTTAACAAATTAATTTGTTGTATTATAAAAAAATATTAGTATTATATGTGTTATAATAAATATTTCATACCTTGTTTTACAACTTCCTTATGAATACGAGTTGTTTTCTGTGAACGTACTTTTGGCATTTTATTTATATAATATTTGAAAGTACTATTTTGTTTCAATAGATATAATCAAAAACGAAGTATAAGATAAAATATTTATATTTACTTTAAAAGAATAAATAATAAAATAAAGATAGAGATAGAGTAAAAAGTCAGCGCCATCTCTAAAGTGCCATAAATGAAACAAAATATAAATAAAGAAAAGGATAAAAATAGAATAAGAATTAACCATAAGCGCCATGTTTTGAGTACGAAACAAGTTCAAAGATAGGATAAAATAAAATAATTAAAATTAATCTTTTGAATAAGAGATTAAGAGAAATTTTTAAAAAGATCTAAAAGGCTTTTAAGAAATGGCTAGTAATTAATTTTTATTATATCTTTCTTTTCTTTTTGTATTATTTGTTTTCTTTACTTTATAAATTTTAAAAGACAATATTTATCGATTAATTTTACATCTTTTTATCTATTAATTAAATTAATTTTACGTTTTATTATCTAATCTATTAATTAAAAATTTGAATAAATTCTATTCGATCCAATTTTTATATTAGAAAAGAATATTTGTTTTATCTTTTATTTATTTAATAATTAAAATTTAATTCCAATTCCAACCATTACTAATGTTGCATGATATTTACTTCAATTGGTAATGTTGAAAATGACATTAAAATGATAAAAAAATTGCAATATTCTCAAAGTATGGAACAAAAAAATACATTAAATGTTAGATCTATTCTGTATCTTGCTGTGTTATAATTAATATATTCAGCTTCTTCTTTTGCAAAGCAAAGCAAAATTAGAATTCTGTGTATTTTAGATTGAATGTTTTATATTAATGTTTTCTTATTATTTAATATTAAACTATAAAAAATTAAAATATATAATAAATATATATATATTTATTAAAGCATATTTAATTACTAGTTACAAAGTTACAAAATAGTTACAAAAGTTTAACTTTTTAATAAGTGGCAAAACTGCTACAGGCAAAGTTAGAGGAAAGTTTATCTATCTTCTATATTAACATGGATGTAAATCTGTCATTTTGATAATTATATGATTAAGGTTATAGACAACGAATTGTCTAATTATTGTAATATTATTTAAACTTTTTTTCAAGCATGAATGTTTGATGAAATTTAAATATAAACGTATGTCAGTAAATATATAATTATTGATTTTCTTATTACATGAATTCATTTTAATGTTATAATTTAAATTAGCTTAAGTAATTTTATAATTTTTTAGGGATAAAATTTTGCAATGCAAAAGTTCAATCTTGAAATTCTAAATTGGTGACGTTATGGAGTTGAAAGTATGGGTAGAAGGAATACAACGTATTGTATGTGGTGTTACAGAAACTACTACATGTCAGGTTGGTAATGTCTGTTTAAATATTTAAATTGATTTAACATTAATATATATAATTAATATTATATTATATTATATTATATTATATTATATTATATTATATTATATTATATTATATTATATTATATTATATTATATTATATTATATTATATTATATTATATTATATACTTAATATAATATTATAATAATATTTTCATAATTTTAATATTGAATTTTATAATTTATAATTTATAAAATTATTGATTCAATAAAATTATAATTATATAATAAAATTGAATTTTTAGGATGTAGTATATGCTCTAGCCCATGCAACAGGACAAACAGGTAGATTCACTTTAGTAGAAAGATGGAGAACTAACGAACGTCTCTTAGCTCCATATGAAAATCCTTTAAAGGTATTAATATGAAATAAATAATTGAAGAACAGAATAATTTATTGTTTTTTTTTTTAAGATTTTAGTGAAATGGGGAGAATATTCTTCAGAGGTTCAGTTAATATTAAGACGTTCTACTCCGGAAAATAATAAGGCTTCTAGTTCATTAGGAACTCGTTTAAATCATGGTACACGTTCAAATGGTATAATGAGTCCTACCACAGAACATATTACAACTAATAATGGACAAGATGATACCAAGAATACTGTAATTCCAAATTCTGAATTTGATGACTTACAAGGATGTCTTGATAGAAATCGTGACATTAGAAAATCATTAACATTTGGAGGATTGCATGGACATGTTATGGAAAATAATACAGAAGTAAATAATGTTTAAATTATGTTATATATTTTCAACATCATTTTTATACAATTTATCTTATCATATATATTTTACATATATATTTCAGATTCAAATGGAAAATGTTGCCATAGTTCAACCTACATTGCATTTAAAAAATAAGGAATTAAATATAAAAAAAAATATACAAAAACCAGCTCAATCGCCTACCCATGCTACTAGCAGTGAAAGTAACACACATTTATCACAAAAGAAAGTGCGTGAAGTTCCCCCATATAGAGATCCTCCAGGTCCAGCTTCACCACCTTTAAGAACTTTACCCCCATACAGAGATCCTCCACCACCTAATTTAAATAGTCCTGGAAGATCACATTTTCAATCTAGTACAAATATTGGAAGTTCTCATGTTCATAAAGAAGATCAACCATCTTCCAGTAATTCTGTCAAACTAAAGAGAAATCTTATTCAGGTTCTACAGATAAATATATTTTTTAAATATAAATACATACATATACACGCGCGTGCACACACACACACACACACACACACACGAAATATTTGTTATATTTTTCATATATTATTTCTTATATTATCTTGATAAAGAGAAAGTGAATGAGAGAGAAAATTAGAGGAATAAATTAATATAAAGATAATTATAATATAGTTATTGTTATCAATGTTATTAATGTATGTTTAGGAATTCCAAGAAACAAAAGGACAAACTCAATCTGTAAGTCAATTATCTGGTCAAACTCAAAATATGGTTACTGTTGCTTACACTCAACGCTATGTTGAACTTATAAGACTAGTCAATAAACAACGTGATACTATTAATGCCCAACAAGCAGATCTTACTAAAGTATAAAGTTATAAATTCATATAATTTATAAATTTATAAAAAAATTTAAAGTACATTTCAATATTTATTTTTTAGTTTGATGCTGAAATATTATATTGGGAAACTAAAAATAGAGAACAGATGCATCAGATAGATTTCATTTCTCAAGAAGTAAATCGTATGGAAACTACGGGGCGTCTTATTGAAGAACAGGTATATTTTATACATTTATTATTAATTAATAAAATTGTAATTACATTTATTGTTTTTATAGTTAAAAGAATTAGCACATGTTGAGGAAGAAAGTGAAATAGTTAGACAACAAGAAAAAACATTAAAATCAGAAATTACATTATTAAGATCAAAACTGGCAAATTGTGAAACAGAATTACTTCAATGTAAAAACAAAATCAGGTAAAAGTATATTAAGTTTAAATATTTTAATGCAATATTAAAATTATTTTTTTTTTTTTGTATTATAGATTAGTTATGGAAGAACTTGCTATAGAACAACACAATATAAGTCGTGAAACAGATGAAAGACAAATAATGGAGCGTAAAATCATTACCGAAGTTGAACATCTTCAAAATGAAGTAGAACAAGCTAAACGTTCCGCTGAGTTAGCTTCACAATGTGCAGAAACATTAAAGCTTGAAGTAGTAAGTTTAGAATCTGCAATTGTTGAGAAAAAATTACAAGTAGAACGATTAGTAGCGGATATGAAAGAAGCTAATTTACAAAGTCTTGCTGTTGCTTGTCAAGATGAACAAGTAAAATCATTATTTGAAGGTATTCAAAATTTAATTAAAATATAATTAAAAATTTTATATAATTATATATTAAATGTTATATATTTATTCCACAGGTGCCCACAAACCCGGTAGTACACGTAAAATGATAGGTTCACCAAGACAATTGGAGACTGCAGTACCTACAAGCAAGAATCCACATGGTGTTTGGGTATAAACATATGTTCGATACATTTTGCGATATCGATTATATTACTTTTTATTTTTAATATAGTAAGCAATTAAACATTTCATGTAGAATTATATGTGCAATTTGCACATCAAGTAGATCTTTTACTTTCGTATTATATGTATACATTAATTATTTTATTCATTGGCCATATAATTTTCGAAACTTAATTATAAGTCTAATTAATAATTTAAATATTATTTGTATATATATATTTAGTATGAAAAAAATTGGACAATATATTTATCCAAAGTATTACAATTATAAATCATGCAACTTATATGTTACACAACTTGCATGTTTTTTAAAAAATGTACTTAAAAATTGTTACAAATTTCACGAAATTATTACTTGAGATAAGATTATATATTTTCTATATTATCAAAATAATTCTGTGAATTAAGTGCATTTATATGATGCACTATATACTTAAAATATTAACATAATATATATGTATTGTGTATCTTGTACATATCGTTGAAAATATGTGATAATGAAGTCTGAAAAATTCTATTCTATTTTCTGCTAGTTTACGTTATTATTATTAACTATATTTTTAAATATTTAAAAATCTATTTTTTTTTAAATTTCAGTCCAAAATCAAATTCATTGCATTTCATTTAACAAATTTAAATTTAATAAATTTAAATTTGTATAAAAAATCTACTTGCATTTATTTTATATTTAAGTTCACTTTGATTTATATGATAATTTTTGTTATTTTATGTTTATTGTTAATGCATATTCATTAAAATAACTTTTTCACTGCCATTATTAGTAATTATCTTTTGTAAATGTAATGAATAAGTATATAGCATATTATATTTTATACGTAATTTCATTTTTATAAAAATTAATAATCTTGTAATTTTATTGTCGATAATATTGATTTGTTTTTTTTTATAATGTTTACCAAAGTGTGTTAATTTTTTATTAAGAATAAACATATATTGTACAATAAAATATAAAAGTAAAAATTAAAATTAAAATAAATTAAAATTAAAATATGAAATATATTTATTTATTTAATTGATTATATATATTTTTTACAAATATAAATATAAATATATATTTACAAAATTTTAGAAAATACAATATAAATATAATAAAAAAAATATTTTTATATCATAAATAATATATGGTCCTTCCAAATAAGATCGAAACCAAATCTCATAAAATGATTATGAAATCTATTAAATATCTTATCTATGATTGATGTGATTGTTATAATTTCGCGCGTTTTTTGAATTCAATACCTTAGAAAACGATAAATACTAGTACTCTTGATTTACATATAACTGTGAATATCTAGATAAATAAAAGAAAACATTATTAAATAAGTTCAATATTCGAAGTATGATTATAATTTATTATAATATGATATTTAAATAATTTATTAAATCATAAATTTAATAGAGATTTAAATAACATTATTTTATACATTTTTCAAGCAAATATGAGTCTTTGGGTGGATAAATATCGTCCAACAACACTCGGAAAATTGGATTATCATAAAGAACAAGCAAATTATTTAAAAAATATGGTAATCATGACTTAGAAAACATAGGTTATGCTAAAATTATATGATTATGTGTTTCATTCCTTATTAATATAAATGAAGTTTATTTCTATTCACAAATAAACTTATTCTATAATTTTAGATACAAAAAGGAGATTTTCCACATTTATTAGTTTATGGACCATCAGGGGCAGGAAAAAAGACTCGTATAATGTGTATTATAAAAGAATTATATGGAAGTGGAACTGAGAGATTAAGAATGGAAACTATGACATTTGAAGTATAAAACATATTTTTATATATTTAGTTTAATTTTAATAAAGAATAAATTTATTATTGCTTTCAGACACCTTCTAAAAAAAAAATTAGAAATTTCAACAATAAGTAGCAACTATCACATTGAAGTAAATCCAAGTGATGTTGGCATATATGATAGAATTGTAGTGATGGATTTAGTAAAAACAACAGCTCAAACACATCAAATAGATCCAAATGGACAAAAAGAATTTAAAGGTAAATTTTTAAATTTTAATTAATCATTAATTTTAATAATTATCTAATTTTATATATTTCTTAATAATTTATTATAATATTATGGTATAATTTATTAGTGGTATTACTCACAAATGTGGATCAGCTGACAAAAGATGCACAACATGCTCTTCGAAGAACTATGGAGAAATATGTTGCTACATGTAGATTAATACTTTGTGCAAATTCAACATCTCGTGTATTGCCAGCCATTAGATCACGATGTTTAGGAATTCGAGTTCCAGCGCCATCAATAAAAAATATAAAAGATATTTTACATACAATTTGTAAACGCGAAGGTTTAACGTTACCAGATGAACTGGCTACAAGATTGGCAGAAACTAGTGGTAGAAATCTTAGACGAGCTATATTAATGCTTGAAGCTTGTAAAGTTGAACAGTAAGAATATTAAAAGATTGGTGATCTTACACAAATCTAATTACAATAATTTAAATATTAATCTTTCATTTTTAGATATCCATTTACTGGAGATCAAAATATTACAGAACCAGACTGGCAAGTATATATTCGTAATACAGCAAATATGATGGTCAGTGAACAAAGTCCAAAGAAACTTCTTGCAATAAGAGACAGACTTTATGAATTATTAACTCACGCGATTCCATGTGATTTGATATTTAAAGGTCTTTTACAAGAATGTATAAAAAATTGTGATCTTCAGCTAAAAATTGAAATTGCAACAGTTGCAGCAGAATATGAACATAGAATGCACAAAGGATCAAAACCAATTTTCCATTTAGAAGCATTTGTTGCGCGATTTATGGCAATTTATAAAAAATTTATTGATTCATCTCTTGAAGGTTTTGTATGATATATTTATTAACATATTCGCATATATTAAAATATAATTATTCAAATATAAATATAATTGTTAAATAAATTGACATTTTTAAATTTGTTTACATTTCTATTAAAAATTAATTATTAATAATATCTATTAATTACTAATAGCATCTAGTTCTGTTTTTGTTATAAATTTAATATAATTTGCGCAAAGTACAAGATAGAATTATTATTGATCTAATAATACAAATAATTTTTGATAGAAGTTATATCACAACATAATATAATTATCTAAATTTATATAGCAGCAAGAGCAATAGCAGAAATTGCTGATAGTCCAATCACTGCATAACCAGTACTATATACTTCCTTGATTGTAAGGAACATTCCCAAATCCCAAGCCTGCAAATTTTAACAATAAAAAGAAACTTTAATCAAAAATATAAATTTTCTTGAATAAATATAATAATAATTTCTATAAAAGTTACCAAGTGACGCAATCCATTAAATATATGATATGTAGCAGGTAAAGCAAGTAAAGTTTTTCCTACGAAAAGAACAGGAGCAGATAAACCTAATTCTGTGATTATTTCTATGAGACAAGGAATACCTCCTGGGATGAGTAATGTTCCTATAATAATAATAAAAATTATTAAATTTATTCTTTCTTTAATCTATGTAAAAATAAATAATAATCTTACCTATACCAAATAACATAGCATAACTTGATAAAATCATGCCTGTTGTACGATGTGTAATTGAAAGAAATGCTGTTAATTGAATTTGGTAAATAGTCAAATGTGGTGACAAAGGTCTCTTGAGGCGCAAATTCTTCTCATCATGAGTTTCACAAATTTCGATAATTTCTTTAAATAGAGGTTTCGAGACAGCGATATTTCGTGAGCTAAGAAATTATTTTAATAATTTAATTTATAATAAGTCGGCATAAATAACATTCAAATAAAATGAAGGTTACGCATTATATAATAAATTACCTGCAAGTGTAAAAATTCCGAAAAGTACAAGGATCAATGCTTCTTCGAGAAAGCAATCTAAATAAAACCAATTTTTAATATTAATATTATTAGTTAAAATAAAATATGATAAAAAACATTAAGCATTATTTTATTACCTCATATAACACAGCGCCATGTTTTTGTGACTGTATTGTAATTTTAAATGAACATGTTATAGATATCTTAAAATATCTTTTTATAGTATTTTTTTTTATTACTTTATTTTGATGAAATTATATAATTCGATCAAATAAAAATTAAGAAGATTATTTCGAATTAAAAATATATAACTTATACATGATTTTTACATTTCTATTATTTTTATTTTCTATTGTTAAATGTTCTAATAAGAAAAAAGATTAAGAGAATAAGAAGCGAATTTACTTTTCTTAAATTTTTATTATGATAAAAACATTTTTCAAATCATCGTTACTTGAAAATAAGTCTTTAATTAAAATAAATTATATATAGCATAGCCATCTTATAGTTTCTTATACTTCCTGTAACGTTCTTCGTTGTGACTATTTAATTCTTTACCCGGTTCATGCCTTCCGTTTTACGTAGCTTCTTGTTACATTTTTGATTTGAAAAATAATATTTATTAAAAATTATTAAATCAAAAAAAGATATATAAGTATAATTGTAGTAAAAAATATTATAAACTGAAATGAATGAATTTAAATTGCCTAAAGCTCCTAATGGAGTATCTGTTGCTGCTACATGCCTTGCAGCGGTCGGCGTAACGGGTTACGGCGTTTGGAAATCTATGTACACAGGTTTGATCTCCATGTTTCTATTAGAGATTGATATTTATTACAAATAAATATATATATATATTATTATGAATATAAATAAGTTGATATAAATTAATAATTTTAGAACAGAAATTTTTTTTATTAATTTTATAATTGTTTTAGTGGAAGCTGGTCATAGAGCAATTATATTCTCACGTTTAGGAGGAATTCAACAAGATATTTTAACTGAAGGTCTTCATTTTCGTATTCCATGGTTTCATTGGCCAATTATTTATGATATTAGAAGTAGGCCTAGAAAATTATCTTCACCTACAGGATCCAAAGATTTACAAATGGTCAATATCTCTCTTCGTGTGCTTTCTCGTCCTGATGCACAAAGCTTACCTACAATGTATCGTCAGTTAGGTCTTGATTATGATGAAAAGGTTAAAATTTTATTATAATAAATATAATTTTTATATTAAAAATTAAAAATTTTTATATATATTAAATTTAAAAATTTACTATTGCTATAAAAATATGATTATTTTTTAGGTTTTACCAAGCATTTGTAATGAAGTATTAAAATCAGTTGTTGCAAAGTTTAATGCATCTCAACTAATTACACAAAGGCAGCAGGTGTCAAATTTAGTAAGAAAAGAATTAACTGAACGTGCTAGAGATTTCAACATTGTTTTAGATGATGTATCAATAACTGAATTAAGTTTTGGTAAAGAATATACTGCTGCTGTAGAATCCAAACAAGTTGCTCAACAAGAAGCACAAAGAGCAGCATTCTTTGTAGAAAAAGCAAAACAAGAAAAACAACAAAAAATTGTTCAAGCAGAGGGTGAAGCAGAAGCTGCAAAAATGATATCCTTTAAAAAATAATATAAATAATATGTGTATATAGAGTATCTCAAAATGTTGGAATATCTGATTCTTGAGGTTTTCTTTTATAAAAACTTTCATTAAGAATAATGAATTATTAATAAAACTAATCATAATATTAACTAATCATAGAGTACATAGACTAATCAAACTACAATAGTTGGATATCTGCCATCGATTGGAACAGAAATATTTCAGTTTATAGATGTTCCAGTATTTTTGGGAATATATATATATATATATATATATATAATTATAATATATACATATCTATAATTTTTTTATTATTTTTTAAACAAATATCCTTAACTTCTCTGTACCTTGGCTTAGCTCTTAGTCAAAATCCAGGTTACTTAAAATTACGAAAAATTCGTGCAGCACAAAATATTTCTCGTACGGTAATTGCAAAAAAAATTTTATTTCTTGTAGTAAATTATTAATATAATTATATAATGAGTTTTTTTTTTTTTTTTAGATTGCAAACTCTCCAAACCGTTTATATCTTAGCGGAAATGGTTTGATGTTAAATATTCAAGATCCATCATTTGATGATTCCTCAGACAAACTAAAAAGTAAGAAATAAAAACAGCATAAAATTTTTCATACTAATTATATGGTGTAAAATAATTTTCAAAATATTATATATGTAGATACCAAAAAAGATTGTTAATAAGAATCATTAGATGATTGTAGATATAAAAATATTGCAGCTAGTCTTGTTATTGTTTTTATGTCCTGTGGTAAGATGATGCTCGCTCGCAAATCTCGAGCTCCTGTTTTTTCAGGTGATAAAAGGATGATGAGCTGGGAAAACTGGAATGATACAATGCAAAGCGCGGTGAAACATTTAACGTCTGAGCAACAAACAACAGTGAAAATCAATGAAAAACCCTTAATTAAATCTTCTGTACCCTCTTCAGAAGAACAAATATCTATTCTATTGGATTCTGCAGATGATGGAGCAAAGATGATTGTTTCTTGAACTCGAATTTAAATTTAATTTTATATTTCGGAAGAGATTTTGCGATGCGAGCTCATCTCCTATCTCTAATATATTCCTTACCCTTAAATCTTATTACTGTCATCAATAGATAAAATTTTTTTTATGTTATATTAAGGGAATTATAAGTGAAGATATCTTAATAATTTTTTAATAATATATTATTACAAATTATCGATATAACTATCGAAATAAAGTTTAATTTACAGTTTATTCCTTTATCCTTATTTTATTCTTCTTTTATCTTTAAATAAAATTCAAATTTATGATATTCATAAGATTATTTATAATAAAATTTTTATAATATAAAAATTTGTGTAAATGAACTATATTTTATCGTATAATATATCCTCTTATTTAATTAATAAGAAAAGTAGATTAATTTCAGAAAAATTAATAGAGAAATTATTGAAAGAATAAATAGATTAATTTCAGAAAGATTAATAACAAAAGTAGATTATTTCAGAATACACTTGAAAATTGCGAATTGTACTTCCGGCAAATTTTTAGATAAATTATAACTAATATAGATAACCTCTATTTGTATACGATAAGAAGAACATTGCCAGCAATTACATAGATACAATTTTCAAGTTTAAATAAATCAAAAGGTGTGTATTTTCAAATTTTTTTTAAGTTAATCTTTATTTTTATATTTCTATATTTATTAAAGTCATTTTTTTATATTTACGTATTTTTTTCTTTATCTAATAATTTATAATAAATTTGATTTCATTGAAATAATCTTATTGCATCATTTTTGTAGATGAAAGAAGATAAATCTATTAATTCAACTACAGGAAGGTAAATGAATTAATTTTTTAAATTATATATCATTATAAAATTATATTTATATTTTATTATATTATTTTTAAGTGATGAGCTTTCTAAGAAGGCTCTTAAAAAAACAACAAAAAGAAGTAGAAAAAGCAATAAAAAAAGCTGAACGTAAAAGTCAAAATTGTAAGTCAAATTTATATATTTTATTTAAAAAATAATTTTCTATATAAAATATTAAAATTAATTTTTAATAAAAATTTTTTAATTATATATGTATGTATATATATATATATATATAGACTAAGTTACAATAC